ATTTATTATTTAAATTCATTCTTTAAATTTTTTTTATTATATCTTTTATTTGTTCCACTCTTTATTTTGATTTCTTAAGATTCATACAAATTTTTCAAAAGTATTCCATTTTAAGGAAATATAGGGTATATTTATTGAGATCTACTTATCAAAAAACTGATATGAATTAACATTTATAGAGATTTAATGTTAAATGATACTACATTAAATTAATAATCCAAACAAAGAACAGTAAGCTAAATGAAGAGATTAAAATAAAGATTGATTTTAATTGCTTAATTGAAAACTAACTTAACAAAAAACTGCATGATTATTTCATAAGATATTCTGTTAATTTATTTAATTTATCCTATTTATAAACATAAGTCTTAATAGATATAATTAACAATTTTGTAAAATTAGTTTATAAATAATAAAAGATATATTTAATAACAAAGATAATAATAAAAAAGATATGACAAGAATTAAAAAAATAAAGTTAATCTTAGAATATAATCTAAACTATATAACAAAAATATCATAGTGATTAATTTTAACTTAACTCTCAATTCAAGATAATGTATCAATCCCCTGTTAATTTATAAGATATTAAAAACTTTGAAAACATATTCAAAAAGTAGTATAATTTTGAAATTATTAAGATTTAAGGAGATAATTATATCTTCTCTAACCATTGTTTATGAATCTTAAATATTGATTAACTTGAACTCAACATGAAATTTTACGTACATCAAATAATAAGCAGTTATTACTTAATGTATAATCACTGTTGTCCCTTCAAAATGATTTTTTTACAAAATTAATTAATATCTATTCAAAAATAATATCCCTTAAATCTTTAAAAACTCACAATTAAATTAAGAAATTGCACCTAAATTGTAGAATTAAAAAGGAAATAACTATTGTTATTTGATAAACATAATGGATAATCTTAATAAAATTTATCTTCTCTATAACAACCTTCTAAGATAAATTGGACGATCAATTATTTAAATATATAAAAAAGCCTTTATATTAGTCACACTTAAATGTTTGGGTATTTTCTCTTAAATTTCCAAAATAAGTATTTTACTAATAAACATTTTTCAATTACAATGTTAAAATTTAAGGTTTATAAAATCAATTTAATAAAAAATAATAGTATTCCAGTTAATTGAATATGAGTTGAGATAAATATTATTTTGTGAATAGTAGAATAAATCAAGAAATACGAAGATTAGAAAACTTAGAAATGATAAATGCTGAAAGATTTAGTTGTAGAATCTACTTTATAAATCTTGTACAATTCACATTCTAAATATAAATTGAGAGAAAATGCTTATACTAAAAAAACAGTATACAAAGATTTAAGATATTATTGCATTCATGCAACTAAAAGTTCTATTTCATAATATTTTAAAATGTGCTAAATTAATTTCAATTTAGTAATGCTTCAAGATTGTTAAAAAAGAAAAAAACTATAAAATAGAACTCTATCAACAAATATTGGACACAAGAAGTAGATTAAAATAGATTTAAATTAAGGGTTAATATAGGTTAGTTTTAAAATTAATCAAGTTTTATAGAATATATTTAATTAGAATTTACTCCAATAATTCTCCAAAAAAGGAAACGTTTTTTATAAAAAACTCTCTTTTGAAGTCTGGGTAAACCATAATATTAAATGTATCTAAATTTTAAATAATATTCTTTTACTGCAAAGGGGTGTTAAAAAAAGGATATCTTGTATTTTTAATCTAAATTTCTTTAAATCTATAATCTGAACAATACTTTTTTTTGATTTTCCATAGACGGATAGACTAATCACTACTACCAGAAGCTAATGTATTTCCATCAGGAGAGAAACAGACTGAGTAGACAATACTAGTATGACCATCTAATTTGGCTTTTTATTATCCTGTTTTGACATCCCCATAGACGGATAGACTTATCATTACTACTAGTGCCATTAAAAAATATGAAAATTAATAAAAACTATAAAAAATTTGAAGTTTTATTCAAAACGATTTTTTATTGTTTTATTTCTAAAATATTTATATCTTATAAGTTCGAATTTTTGGAGAACTCAATCTATATTTGGAATCTTTAAAATTTTTTTATTATAAGTTAAAATTTAATAAAATGTCATTCCAAAAATTATATTGATTAATTTCTCTATTTTATTAATCGTAACACTTTCCTTAACCTTTTGTTAATAAGTCATAAAGTGATTTTTTTGGCTTGTTTCAAGACCAAAAATAACACAGCTCTATTATGTAAATTGATTTAAAAATTTGTAGGGATTTTGTATTTATCAGTAAATTGCAGATAAGTGTCTCTATTGAATTTTACAATCTTATTAATTATTTGAGCATCATTTGATATAGAAAATTTAAAAATCTGAACTTTCAAGAGATAGCTTTGAAATTTTGGGATGAAATAGAAAAAAATTCAATCCTATTATATTTTAGTTACTGAAGAAAATAATGAATTAGAGACCAAACTTAGGAAGGTATTTGTATAAAACCTTATAAGATCAGATTAATCATTAGCAAAAGTTACAATTCAATATAAAGAAGAAAAAATAATTGAAGTAATTATAGATGCATTACATGAATCAATCTAACAAATTATGATTTTTATAAGGACTTTATAAATTAATATCATTCTAAATAAAGAGAAAAGAAGAGAAAATTAGAAAAATCATTAAATATTGATGTTTCCTGATTTAAGTAAATATTCAACTAACCTTAAGAACAAAGAGTATTAAAGAAGTGACTTAAGCGTATTATTTATATAGGATTAATATATTTATATGAAATATAAATGATGATCATCATTATGGATCTTTTAGAGAAAATTTAAGAAGTTGTTCACTTGTCTAATAAAAAAGTGTTTAATATTAATTTGTCCATAAATTTATTTAAGAGTTTTTAATTGCAGCTGATTTATTTGAAGTGTTAGTTCAATCGAAAGATTTTGTTGTCAAAAAAAAAAATAATTAAGATTAAGATTGCTAAAAATTACTCTAAATTGTTTATTATAAATATTCTGAGAATTATGATTAAATAGAGAATAAATCATTGGATAATAAAAAAAAAAAATGGAAAAAGACTACAAATTCAATTACTGATTTGATTAAAATCATAGAAGAGCATGATGTTATTCTGTTAATTATTTTGAAATCTATTCTGAAACAAGATAATATCTCATTTAAAAAATATCACAAGAAGCTAGGATTATAGGTTTTGGAAATTCTTAGTTCATCTCATTAAGATTGAGAAGAACTTTACAATAAGTGAATCTGATGCCATAAATGTATTAGTTGAAATGAAGGTTGATCTAAAATTTTGAAATATTAGAAATGAATAATACTTCTGTATTTGAATGGAAATTTTGCTAGATACAATTTAAAAAAATCTAATTTTGATAATATTAATAAAAATTGAATTAATTTATAAAGAACTCGTCTAGCTTTTTTTTTAGTTATGAATAAGTTGGAATCAAATAATTACTTTTTTAGAACTCTTTAAGATAACAGTAGACTAGTCAAGCCTTAAGTCTTTGCTTAAGGAGATGTAAACTAATGAAATAAGGAAGAAAAATTAACTAATTTAAACCCATTTGACACTTTTCACTAGCTATACATAAACGCCTATGTTAATGCAATAAGTAAGAAATCTTGAGATTCCAGTATCTCCCCTGAAATCTTGGCTTTGACGATATGAAAATATTGAAGTTCCAATCTTTTCAGAATTAGGAAGATCTCTTCATTGTGTCACATGTGGAAAATATCCGATTTTAGGGATGCATCAAAGTCTCTTAAAAGTGCTGATAAAAAATGAATGAGTATTAAAATAAAATAAATGAATATTATTAAAAATATCTAAAAGTTTATTCGATTACATAAAGAATTGATTCTCATCTATTATTATTTGCTTAAGAGATCAAAATTAATGCCATATTTTTTAGGAATTTGTATTGATTTCTGTTTATTTGAGTATCCTTGTTTGTAATTGTTAAATTATTATTGATAACAAATCCTAGAGTAAAAAGAAACATAACAGGTAAGTATTGAAAAAATTCATGCGTAATAGTGACAGGAGGATCTGATTGTCTTGGAAAAGAATATGTATCCAATTAGCTAAATAAGGATTCAATATTTTGAGAGTGACAAAAAAGAATGAACTCTATAAATTATTAAAACATTTTCAAGTCGAAACCATAATAATAATTGCGGATTTTACTTAAAATCCTTCAATAGAATTTATGAAAGATTTAACTTTGAATTAAGATATTTAGATACTTCAACTTTGGTAAATGATGCCGAATATTAATAAAATTTAGAATTTAGATGGAATAAATATGTTGTTAACATAATTGTCTTATTCATTTTCTAAGGTTTATTCTTGTATAGCTTGTGCATTTATTAATTTATTATGGTATAATGATAATCAATCTTCTTCAGAGTATAATTGTATATGTGAATTCAGCATTTAAGCCAAAAGAAATAAACCTGGTGAGTGAGGTATAAAAGAAATTTAGGTATGAACTTATAAAGCTTAACTTAATTATTCGGTATACATGTTGTAAAATAATATATTTAAAGTAATCAAAAATTTTTTGCTTCTAACTATGAAATATAATAATAAAAAGAGCATAATAAATTAATTATCTTCATTTACTTATCAACAGCTTCAGTTCTCTATGCTAAACAAACCAATATCAACAACTATAATTAAAATTAAAAGAGCAATTACTGTTACATAATTTTAATCATCCTTTCATCAAATAAATTAATTTTGCTAATCATTAATCTAAATGATACCTTTAGATAGCAAAAGACCAAAATTCTGCTTAAATACCAATATAATGATATAAATCAATATTCATATTACAATTTTCATTCATTATTTGATTAGAAATTTAAGTTCACTCTGCTCTTTTTTTATTTAGATAACACTTAATATTTTCTGCACTTTGATAGCAATAAATAAAAATTTAAAAGAAATATCATATAAGTTAATTATTTCTATAAAACTACTTTTGTCTCTATACATATTCATCTGGAATATTTATATATTTTCGAATATTAAAATCGATTGCTCCCAATATTTATGTAGATGATNATTTTGCTAGATAAGATAACAGTAGACTAGTCAAGCCTTAAGTCTTTGCTTAAGGAGATGTAAACTAATGAAATAAGGAAGAAAAATTAACTAATTTAAACCCATTTGACACTTTTCACTAGCTATACATAAACGCCTATGTTAATGCAATAAGTAAGAAATCTTGAGATTCCAGTATCTCCCCTGAAATCTTGGCTTTGACGATATGAAAATATTGAAGTTCCAATCTTTTCAGAATTAGGAAGATCTCTTCATTGTGTCACATGTGGAAAATATCCGATTTTAGGGATGCATCAAAGTCTCTTAAAAGTGCTGATAAAAAATGAATGAGTATTAAAATAAAATAAATGAATATTATTAAAAATATCTAAAAGTTTATTCGATTACATAAAGAATTGATTCTCATCTATTATTATTTGCTTAAGAGATCAAAATTAATGCCATATTTTTTAGGAATTTGTATTGATTTCTGTTTATTTGAGTATCCTTGTTTGTAATTGTTAAATTATTATTGATAACAAATCCTAGAGTAAAAAGAAACATAACAGGTAAGTATTGAAAAAATTCATGCGTAATAGTGACAGGAGGATCTGATTGTCTTGGAAAAGAATATGTATCCAATTAGCTAAATAAGGATTCAATATTTTGAGAGTGACAAAAAAGAATGAACTCTATAAATTATTAAAACATTTTCAAGTCGAAACCATAATAATAATTGCGGATTTTACTTAAAATCCTTCAATAGAATTTATGAAAGATTTAACTTTGAATTAAGATATTTAGATACTTCAACTTTGGTAAATGATGCCGAATATTAATAAAATTTAGAATTTAGATGGAATAAATATGTTGTTAACATAATTGTCTTATTCATTTTCTAAGGTTTATTCTTGTATAGCTTGTGCATTTATTAATTTATTATGGTATAATGATAATCAATCTTCTTCAGAGTATAATTGTATATGTGAATTCAGCATTTAAGCCAAAAGAAATAAACCTGGTGAGTGAGGTATAAAAGAAATTTAGGTATGAACTTATAAAGCTTAACTTAATTATTCGGTATACATGTTGTAAAATAATATATTTAAAGTAATCAAAAATTTTTTGCTTCTAACTATGAAATATAATAATAAAAAGAGCATAATAAATTAATTATCTTCATTTACTTATCAACAGCTTCAGTTCTCTATGCTAAACAAACCAATATCAACAACTATAATTAAAATTAAAAGAGCAATTACTGTTACATAATTTTAATCATCCTTTCATCAAATAAATTAATTTTGCTAATCATTAATCTAAATGATACCTTTAGATAGCAAAAGACCAAAATTCTGCTTAAATACCAATATAATGATATAAATCAATATTCATATTACAATTTTCATTCATTATTTGATTAGAAATTTAAGTTCACTCTGCTCTTTTTTTATTTAGATAACACTTAATATTTTCTGCACTTTGATAGCAATAAATAAAAATTTAAAAGAAATATCATATAAGTTAATTATTTCTATAAAACTACTTTTGTCTCTATACATATTCATCTGGAATATTTATATATTTTCGAATATTAAAATCGATTGCTCCCAATATTTATGTAGATGATGTCATATTAATATTGAAAATAATATCTTATACTATATACTTAAGTATTAAGGCCTCATCTCAATTTAGAAGTCATCCCCATTAAAATCGATAATTCTTAAATACTAAAGAATTTCTTAAGTTTTAATTTTAGTAATTATCATTTAATTATGAAATTTTGTGTTTTTATTTAGAAAAAATGTTACTTTAATACATTTTATTATAAAGTAATTTCATAATAAACTGGTAGATTTGTTAAACAATACATATCATATTGAGTTCTTAAAAAAAAGAAATTAGGATAAATAGATTTGATTTTAATTTTTTTATAATAATTTAAATCTATTTACTTTATATTTATTTAAAGAAGTGTTAGAAGTATACTTTATTTAATAAGACAATAATTATGGTGATGTTATCTATATAGTTTTTTATTGATTCATTTGCTTATTTTGCAATTATACTAATGCTTAGCTAAAAGTATTTCAATTTAATAGATAGAGAATTCAAATTTGTTGTAATTCATATCTTAAGATTTAAAATCTTCTAATTTCAAGCATAATAGTTAGAAATATTATTTAAATATTAAATAAGATTTAATATAAACTAAAATAAGGGCAAACAAACATCACTGATAGGCAAAAAGCAAACGAAAATTATAAAAAATAAAAAGTAAAGGGCTTTAAATTAGTATAAATTTTTGAAAAAAGATGATAAATTTGAAAAAGGTTGCAAAGTTAAATTTTTAATCCTTCTCCAAGCGATGCATAAACTATAAGAGGTTGGGATTCAAATTATTTTTTAGGAGAATTATTAGTATAAAAAATATAAGGCATCAAAACAATTAGTATAAAGCCCAACAACTGACTCAACCAGTAAATCATGACCACCGAGACCCCATTGACACCGCATTATCAAGGGCCATACACCGGAGATAAGAGATGTATGATAACCCTAATGAAGTTTAACGAAAGCGATATAAATAAATCAGGCATATGCATTGGCTTACATTATAATAGGTATTAAGTATTTTATTAATAAAAGAAACCTTTTTGGTTGATTAGAAAGAAGCCATAAATTCTTATACTAAAGGTATAGAGATTGATCTTAAATGTGAATTTGCAACATGAATAGAATTCTTCATTTATTGGATCTTTATGATTATTATTTTAAGATTTCTAGATAAGTTTTGGAATGGAATCTATTCAAGAAGCACTTAAGGATTATAATTAGGCTTTATAATTCAAATCTCTGTCTATAATAATAGTAATAACATAATCAAATTAATAGGTATTTCATTATTGATTTTAGAACTATATCACTATGCAATATTTTATTATAATAAAGCAATCTAATTAGACCCCAACTTTGCTATGGCATTTACTAATAAGAGTTAATAATAAATTATAATTTAAAAGGCTATTCTTTAAAAATACAAGTTTTGTGATAAGAAAATAAATGATCAAAAGAAGTGTAGTGATGGAATTCTATACTTTGATAATGCAATCTTATTAGATTCAAACTAAGCTAATACCTATAATAATAAAGATATATATATTATTATATTGATTTTGTAAACAATTAAGGATATCAGTTTGGATAGAGAAATTAAAGAAATATGATGAATCTTTAGCGAATTTCATTCATGCATCATTTATTGATTCAAAATATTCATAAGCGTATATGAGTAAAGGTAATATTTAATATACTAACAAGGTGATAATAATGAAATATCAAAATAATAATTAAAAATGTCAAAGATGAAAAAGTAATAATATTCCATNTACTTTATTTAATAAGACAATAATTATGGTGATGTTATCTATATAGTTTTTTATTGATTCATTTGCTTATTTTGCAATTATACTAATGCTTAGCTAAAAGTATTTCAATTTAATAGATAGAGAATTCAAATTTGTTGTAATTCATATCTTAAGATTTAAAATCTTCTAATTTCAAGCATAATAGTTAGAAATATTATTTAAATATTAAATAAGATTTAATATAAACTAAAATAAGGGCAAACAAACATCACTGATAGGCAAAAAGCAAACGAAAATTATAAAAAATAAAAAGTAAAGGGCTTTAAATTAGTATAAATTTTTGAAAAAAGATGATAAATTTGAAAAAGGTTGCAAAGTTAAATTTTTAATCCTTCTCCAAGCGATGCATAAACTATAAGAGGTTGGGATTCAAATTATTTTTTAGGAGAATTATTAGTATAAAAAATATAAGGCATCAAAACAATTAGTATAAAGCCCAACAACTGACTCAACCAGTAAATCATGACCACCGAGACCCCATTGACACCGCATTATCAAGGGCCATACACCGGAGATAAGAGATGTATGATAACCCTAATGAAGTTTAACGAAAGCGATATAAATAAATCAGGCATATGCATTGGCTTACATTATAATAGGTATTAAGTATTTTATTAATAAAAGAAACCTTTTTGGTTGATTAGAAAGAAGCCATAAATTCTTATACTAAAGGTATAGAGATTGATCTTAAATGTGAATTTGCAACATGAATAGAATTCTTCATTTATTGGATCTTTATGATTATTATTTTAAGATTTCTAGATAAGTTTTGGAATGGAATCTATTCAAGAAGCACTTAAGGATTATAATTAGGCTTTATAATTCAAATCTCTGTCTATAATAATAGTAATAACATAATCAAATTAATAGGTATTTCATTATTGATTTTAGAACTATATCACTATGCAATATTTTATTATAATAAAGCAATCTAATTAGACCCCAACTTTGCTATGGCATTTACTAATAAGAGTTAATAATAAATTATAATTTAAAAGGCTATTCTTTAAAAATACAAGTTTTGTGATAAGAAAATAAATGATCAAAAGAAGTGTAGTGATGGAATTCTATACTTTGATAATGCAATCTTATTAGATTCAAACTAAGCTAATACCTATAATAATAAAGATATATATATTATTATATTGATTTTGTAAACAATTAAGGATATCAGTTTGGATAGAGAAATTAAAGAAATATGATGAATCTTTAGCGAATTTCATTCATGCATCATTTATTGATTCAAAATATTCATAAGCGTATATGAGTAAAGGTAATATTTAATATACTAACAAGGTGATAATAATGAAATATCAAAATAATAATTAAAAATGTCAAAGATGAAAAAGTAATAATATTCCATTGATACTTAAGTGAAAATTTTTTTTTTTTCTCATCAATAATAAATTTCTTAGATTCCTATCTACCTAACATTTTCCTTTGACTAAAATCTCTCCTCCATTTATTTTATATAGATGGTTTGGTTATATATTAAATTGGATATAGATCCATCAGTGAATAACAAGGTCCTGAAAAAAAATTAGAAATATTCAAAAAAGAAAACAAATTTATTGATACTCAATAATCATACTAAGTCAAAGTTATCCCTCCAAATCAAATTAGTTTTACTTAAATTCTAAGTTTCTGATAATTGCTTAATATGAACTGTTCATGATAATTTGTGATATTTCTCTTACCTTCTAAGTATCTAAATTAAAGGAATTCCAATCTGAATTAGGATTTTATATATCAATTTTTTATCCTAATTGATTATAAAATAAACATAAATAATCTTATATGGATATTGGAGAACATAATAAAGTTACATTTCCATTGTTTAGATTTACATAAATAGATATTCCATTATGTTCTTTATTTGCATGTAAATTTAGATTTCCCATTTTTATATCTTTGTTGCATGAATATGTACAGAAAGTCTTTGAACAGAATAAGCACATTGAATATCCTCCACGTTTCTAATCCTTATTATAAAATCCACAAGTAAAACATTTTTTAGTAAAGAATTTATTATAAAATTCTTTAAATGTTAATCCAATTATACTTTTTAATTGATCTTCTAATTAGTATTAATTTATAAGAAAATATTAATCATAATTTTCTTATTTAACTATTTATTTTTGGAATTCTATAGCTTAGTAAGCTAATTCATCCTATATATCTAATGATAAAGCTAATTAAGTTTTAATTTCATTTCCTATATCATATTAATTGCAACTAAAAATGGCTTCAACTTTAAATCTCTACAAATCTTTTTCAATAACAACATATTTTTAAATTAAGGATAATATATTTAAAATCAAATTATTTTCTGTTTGAAATTGGAATTATTCTATAATTTTAATTTTTGCTGCTTCCATATTTGTAGCATTCAATATTAAGAGTAATTAATGGAATACTAAATTTTTTTAACTCCGTATATACTCTGATAAATTATGAAATAAAGAAATTAGCAAATCAAAGAAAATATTATAATATGTTTCAGAAAGAGTTTTTAATGTAGAAATTTGGTCTTCAAATAAATTGACAACTGAATTTTTTGTGACAAACAATTAAAGATCCTAATTAAAGGATTCTACATCTAAATTAGTCAATTACCTTTATATAGGTAAAGTAATTGTACAAGGTAATTTACACACGGGACATCCAATCTTAATCCAATCAGGATCATTTTATCTTCTATATTATTAATCACTTTCAAATCTTTCTATTAAACAAGAAGAATGAAAATAGTGTTTACAATTTGCTACTCCAATATCAATCAAATTAAATTAGTTATTTCTGAAACATTATAAGCGCTCCTTCGAAATAATAGAAAAATTTGAAGTTTAAGGTTTCTTAATCAATAACATTAAGGCTACACTTGATTATTAACTTAGAGGTAATTTACATGATGAACATACTTTTCCATCAATTTCATCATTATTGTCCTTAATCTTATTACTCTCAAGCATATTTTATATAAATTCTGATTTTTACATTTTATTATATTTCTCCTTAAATTGATTCTTCTTATTTTATAAATTAATTTTCGTATCTTTTACTTATTATTATTACGATATAACAGCAGGTGTAACAACAATAATTAATTTATTGATTTCTGATATCAATAGTTAAATTTTTTGAATATCATCTTTACTTTAAATTTCTCTCAAAATTTATTCAAGTTAAATAATTAAAATGGGAGCATAAGTTTAAAATTCTTATTCCATAAAATAGTTTGCTGCTACGATTTAAATATAAAGCAACTAATATGCCTAAATCTAAGCAAATCCTTCTGTGATTAATAAATCGAGGTTTTTTTAAATATATTCTATCTCACAATATCTCTTTAAAATATTGTAAAGGATTATTCTATAATTATTAGTTTTAAATAATTCAACATCCCAAGATATACCATTTCCCAAATGAATCTCATTTTCTGATTTATTATTTTCAACTAATTTTTCAACAATTTAACTATTAATTGAAGTTTTAATGTTAAATATTGCTGGATCATAAATAACTCTATATTCTGATTTTAATTTCAATTATTTTAATGTTTAATCTACTTCACAAATTTATAAGATATGATCTGGAAGATTAGAGCAAACTTAAATGCCCATTTCTCTAAACTTAGACTCAATATTAGTAAAAGAGAGAAATGTTGAAAGATTGTAAAAATTTTAGATTACTTTAGCTAATGATAATTTCAAATCTCTTGGTAATTCTTTTAAAGTTGAACAACAAACATTATACATATCAAGATCAGAACTTAGAATTTTTAATAATAAACAACTATTTAATAATATAAATAAATATACCATAATATTTTATCACTTCCAAATTTCTCAATTTTTCTATTGTTCATTATTTTAATTAAATCCTAAAAGCCTTCATTATCATATAAAAACAAATAAATCCTCAAAAACGAACTATCAAAAGATTCAAGTATCACTTTATCTTTTTAATCAGTCAAACCCAAATAAATTTATTCAATTAATTCATTTTGACAAAACTAAACTGAAACATAAATCTATAAACATTTTGATAAGACATCATAAAAGATAAACTTAAGTTCTTTCTTATCTTCTTATAGCACATCAAGTAAATAAGATTCAAATTCTGTTCCAGATGAAAAATTCTTCAAAAAATATAAATACGACAAGAAAAATGTGAATACTCTTTCAACAACAGTTATATTTTTGATTAAAACTAAATAAATTTTTGATAATCTATCAGATTATTCCTCTAGACTCAAATTTTTATTCTTTATGTATTTTTTATATGCCTCACTCAATTAAGCATCAACTGATATACCTATACATTTCTTTTTCAAAATCTAATATGATTATATTAGTAATAATTTAGAAATATTTTCTTAAAATTAAAGGGTACTAAATTAAGAACTAAATAGTTTTTAAATTCCATCTAAAATCACTGAAATTGCATACCCTTAAAAAATAAAAAAGTACACCATATCATTCAAATCTTATTGCAATATTGTTAAATTTTTCTCTTATATATCCAAATGTTAAGGTTTAATTAAATCAAAACAATTTAAATAGGATGTTATTGTAAATTAATCATATTTAAAATTTTGAATGATTTCTTTAGTAATTTATCCATTTATAAACTGTTAATAATAATCTCCAAGTACTTCCTGAAGTTATTAAAAAAAAATTTTATCAATAAAACTATATTCATATCTAAATCCGAAGATTAATAAACACTCAAATTAAGAGAATGATGATATTGGTACATGAGAGTGTACTAATATTGATAAATCTCTAATCTTCTCATAAATATTTTAGATATATTGATGGCTAAAGAATATTTATTGTAATTTTTCTGCTACATATTAATTGTGTTATAAATGAATATCAGAGAGATTTAATCCTATAGTAATTTCAATTGATTTTTTATAAATTTAAATATAGTTTTTCACTGCCTAAGCCATTTCCAAATATACTTAATATTATTCATATGCAAATAGTAAACTTGTTATAGATTATAGATTAATTAAATAATCATCCATCAAATTATCATATTTGGTTACTTTTTACTTTTTCTGTAACCACATTGATTAATATTATTTTAAATAGCATACCTATGTAAATTACTTAAATTATTAATCAGCATAAAACCTAAACAATAAACTTTTTATTTTTAAAGCTGGCTATGGTCCTTAACTTTCTAGTAATACTTGAACTTCAAATAAATCTTCTAATATTGTTTGTTTAGACCCTTATGTTAATTTTGATTAAAAAATTTGTGATAGTAAAATTATGAAACATAGTCTTGATTCTGTAAACCAATAACACATTTTAAAAAGAATTGTATTTAAATATAATGCTTACTAAAAAATTCTATAGTATTCCTCAATATCATATTCAGAATCTATAACTTCTTTGAAAGGAGTTATCAACCACTTTTCACTTATGTGATAAAATTTTAGTAATCTAACATTGAATAAATCATGATCCTATTTTATTCTTTTCATAAGTTGTAAATATATTCTACACAAAGTTTTTATGAAATTTTCGATTTTCTTTTTTAGAGAATCTGATATTTTATTTAATTCTTAGTTGTAATTATACTTAGAGACTCCTTGATGTTTTGAACAAAATCCAGATGGGAAAATTGTTTATTCATCTCCACAATCGCATGCTCCACCAATATTATTCTTTACTATACATTTGTGATCTATTCAATTTAAAAAACATACTCAGATGTATATCAGGATTAAAACATTTATAGCAGTACAAATGATTAGGATCAGAGGAGCAAGTGAAACATCTGAATGAAAGTTCTCCATTTTATATATTAGCTCCACAAACTGATTTTACTTGACTTTCTGCATTTTTCCAAATAGCAAATTCATCTTCTTTATCACTTATAAATAATTTAAATATCTAGGTTTCTTCTATATCTTCTAAATAACTAAGTGAGAATGCCCTAAGTTACTCCTCTAATTTATTTTAAGGATCCTATTATAATTAAGACAAGATATTCATCAATAAAGATATTTATATTGATATATTGGTGATAATATTTAATTTTTTATTATAATCAAGTCTAATTCCTAATTTATTTTGAAATTAACAAATAAATAAGAACTTAAGTTTTATATTTTTCTCAAATTTTGCCATCTATTTATATATTCAAAATTTGATATTTTTTCTATTAATTTTTTAAATTTACACAATTTATTGGATAAATCATACTCTCTACTATTCATTATTAATTATTAAAAAATTCTCATATATCAAAATTTGGTTGGAACTTGATTTAATTATATTATGAAAGCTAATAATTATCATTATAGCAATATTTTTTAATTGGCTGCATAAAGCTCTAAAAAATCTAAAATTATATCAATACGAATCATAACTCAAACTTTGAAAGAACTCAATAATGAATATTTAATAGCAGGTATAAAAAGTGGAATTATAATGTTGCTCAAACCTGATTTACATGAAACTGTTTTAAGGACTTATTATATCTCAGATTCGATATAAATAAGATAGAAAGAAAGCACAAGATGCTTAAGATGAGTTTCTTAGAGTACGTCTAAAGGCATGTCCATTTATAAACACTATCATTAAAGAAGAGGAATGAGATTATGGCCAAAGAAAAATGGCTCTGAGATTTGGTAAGAATGTAGAACCGAGAATTAACGATTAAAAGAATTATTGGAGCACTCAAATTATATTGATCATACAACAAGAGATCTAAAAAATATATTAGAGACCTAATTGGAAACCAATATAAAGAAATAATTGGTTAATGAGAGTAATTTTTAAATAAGCTGGAAGTAAGAAAAAACATTATGGAAAGCAATGCCGTTACATAATCCTGATGATAATTATATATATGGAATTAGAAAATTCTCTGATTGAAAGAGATCAGAAGGATTAGAAAAGATGTAAAACCCTTTTATTTAATCTTGTAATAAAGAAGTATTCATATACTCAATATTCAACAAGTACAAAAAGATTCAAGCAGGATTAAGTATTTGGAATAAAAAATTAGACAGTTTTCTTTAAGAATTCTTAACTTAACAATGATAAGAATGCATTAATTTCGAAAAAATAAATTTCATAATTTGGATAAACAATACTTGAAATCAAGTGGTTAATTAGGACGAGAATCATAAGAGATAAAATTTAAAACTTCTAAAAGGATATTAATAAATTTTCAAGACATAAAATAAATAACTATCTCTTATTAGAGAATATCCATAATATGATGATTATAATAAAATAATTTTGGGAAAACGAATACAAATATGAAGAGAGCATTCTAGCTCTTAGAGTATATGATAAAGATTTAAAAAAACAAATCATCAAAATATTTTGAGAGATGGAATGTTCGAATTAAGAAATATGAATTGTCTTTAAACATTAATTTAATTCAAGTTGGATACCTGCCTGTTGAAGTGATCTAATAACTAAGTCTTCATATTCTTCAAGTTAATTTTAAAAATTATCATTAAGGTTAGTCATTCTAATCCATGATTTTACATCTTCTTAAGTGGTATTATAAGGAAATTTGAGTACGGAGAACTAATGAAGCCATTAAAATTTTAAATTTATAATGAATAACAATAAAAATGCAAATAACTAAAATGAGATGAATTATAATTATAATTAATTATGCAACATTATAATTTAGATTTGAAATCTAATCCTAATCCTAGAAAATTGACCAGGTAAATCAGCAACAAGAGTGAGTCAGCTTCAAGATTATCTGAAATCTCGGATGATAGTAGTAGATAAATGATTGATCAAAATCGAAGCAAATCACATAATCGCAACAATTAAAAACAACCTAGAATGATTCTATAGGAATAACTAAATTAAACTAGTAAAATAACAAGTGAAATCAATACCTTAAAAACAACATTTAAAAAGACTAAATTTGATAGTACCTGGATTCATTCAAATTTTTTAAAGGCTTTGAAATCTGAAAGAATGAAATAACAATTTATAAATAATCTTTTTACAAATTCATATGTTTTAAGGCAAAATAAAAAATAGCTTATACATGATAAGTATATTAAAAAAAGCATAAAATAACCAATTTTAGGTATTTAAATTCTATAAATTTAAAGCGACCTATTCTCAATCCAAAATACCGGTTATCTCACCCACAAGTGGATTTATTATCATATGGGATGCAATTGGAACAATTATTAATTTTATAATTCTCTGGTTAACACCATTCCTATTATCCTTTTAATCATAATCTGAAATATTCTCATTTTCAGCCCTTTAATTATTCATTATTTTCTTCTTAATCAGTGATATCTTTGTAACATTAAATAAAGGAATCATAATCTAAGGAATTGTTATTAAAAAGAGACGAAAATTAATCTAATAATATACCTAAACAACTGCAGGTACGGACCTTTTGAACTTAGCGTTATAGATTATGATTTAATAGGATTTAGTTTAATATAAAATCTTAGGGGAATTCCTTACTTTTTGTTAGTTGATAGTTACATATAGGAAAATTGTAAAGTATTTTTCTGATTATTTTTTATTTGCTTTTTTTAAGGGGGCTTCAAGCTTCTTAATGGATTTATTAAGTTTGATTTTTTCAATATTTTTCTTTGCACATATTGTTGCCTGTTTTTGGCATTATGTAGGGATAAAATCTGAAGAAACTTCATGGCTTATAAGATATGATTTAATCAATGAATCCCAATGGAAATAATACAATTATTCGTTTTATTGGGCTACTATGACAATGACTACAGTTGGATATGGTGATATAACTGCCCAAAGTTAATTAGAAATAATTTTTGTGGACATTATTATGTTTTTATCAAGTGGAGTTTTTGCATATTCAATGAATTCAATAGGAATGATCTTAAAGAACTTGTAAGACTCAAAAATGAAATATAAAAGATCTTTGTTATAAATGAATACATTTATGAGCAAGAATTAAGTAGAACCTTAAATTTAGAGTAGAATTCGAAATTATTTGAAATATTATATAGAGTAGGAACAAAATGAGAATTAGGAAGATGTAAATAGTTTAATTTCCTTATTACCTAAGAATCTATAACAAGATTTAAATACTGATATATAGACTAAAGTTATTAATAAAGATAAATTTGTGATCAACCATTTTTCAAAAAGAACATAATAACAATTATCAAAGATGTTAGAATTAGTAAAATTTACTCCAGGTGATTATATTTATAAAAAAGGTGAAATATCTGATAAGAACCTCTATTTCATTAAGGAGGGAGAAGTTGATATTGTTGATGAATAAAGTAAGATGAAATTTTCAGAACTGCAATAAAATTAACCATTTGGTATTTATTAATTCTTTACCAACTTTCCACCTAAGACTTCTGCTGTCAGTGTTGGTTTCTCAAACATCTATAAAATTAGCAGATAGGACTTTTTAGATATTTTACAATTTAATAGGAAAGATTTTGAAAAGTTTCATTATATCAAAGATTAAATAATTTTCAATTCGAATTATAGAATATTTGATTTACGATGTCAATTTTGTGATAGATACAATCATTAAGAAGTTGATTGCCCAATTTTAACATACAAACCAGATCTAGAATAAAGAGTATTGAAAATGGCTTAATAATCAAATGAACCAAACAGATTAAAAATAATTAGAAAACGAAATAAAGTTAATACTCTATGTTAACATTAATTGATTTGTAATTAAGTTAATTCATTTATGGAAGATAATTATGGCTATTAAGTTTCAAATTCTTTACAAGTTGCCATAGCAGCTCAAAGATCGAAAAGTAATAATTACTCAGAACTAAATATTGAGCATAAAAAAACTACAGGGCTTATGTTAGATGATGGAGATTATGAGTAAGCTAAGCAATTATTTGCAGATAGTTCATAGAATAGAATGATAATTAAACTTGATCAAATTTCAAATCCAGATTAAGATTTTCCTTGTATGAAGCTAAATAAAAAGGAATCTAATAATTAAGTTAAAGAGTTTAATATGTTAGATGAATTATTTAGCAATAATAAATGGTTTCATTGTCCTATTTAATGCGATCAATATTAATCATATGAGAATTACTTCCCTTTAGGAAATATTGAATGCATTATTTAGTAATTAGATAATATAAATACTAAGTATCAAAAAAAAGTATAAAAATATATCTAAAGTATGAAAAAGTATACTTTTTTTTATAAAGTAAAATTAAAAGCACTAAAACTAAGACTGTTTTATATGAAAACTCTAAATAATGAATGACTTATAAAATAATTATATAAATTACAGTTCATTTAAGATGCTTTGGAAAGTTTTGAAAGGACAGTTATTTTATTTACAAATCTAATTCTTCAGCTTTTGTTAGTTTCTTTAAAGGTTGTACAGGTGTTATTTAATGCAAAGAAAAGTATTGCTTATTAATAATAGATTAAGGTTATTGTTCTTCTCTTTCTAATTCTTAGTCATGTCTTTAGTCATTCGGTCTATACTCAGCTGCCAATTAACGTATTTAGTTTTAATTAAATTCAGCAATATTTACAGAAAATTCTACATACCCATTAAGATTAACACCACCAAAATATAAAATTTAGCTTCGATAAGAAACAGCAGTATGTGCAGCTCTAGGTCGAGGAATACTGCCAAAGATATCCAATTATATCCATTCTCGATCTAAAATTTTGAATGCAAATAAATCATTAAAATATGGATTGTTTTTTTAATCATCTCTTCCTCCAAAGATGATGATAATATTCATATCTTGAATGTAAGAAGCTGTATGTTAAATTCTGGACATGGGAGGTTTACCAGTAATTTCAGGTATAATCCAATTATTAAATGGTTAATCGAATTTCAAAATAGCTAAGAAATTGCTATAATATTAAGTGTTTTTATTTTCATCAATAAAACATCCCCCAAAACAATAGACTCCTTCATAATCTTAACTTTTTAATTATTTAGAACGTGTTTCTCTTTTTTCAAAGATATATTGAGGTTTATTATAGACACACACTAATTATTAGAATGCAAGCCCTTTTATGAAAGGATTCTTTTGTGTTTCAAGAGGAGTCCATTTGCATAAACCTACATTAATTGATTGTAATACTTAGATTTAAATAATGAAGATCATTAAATACTTAGAATCTACTACGTATACCTCCCATTATTAATAAACCCCGTCCTATAATACAACTTCCAAATGATCTTCTGCTTTCTGGAATACACTCTATATTTGGTTTGAGTAATTGCCATGTTTCAGTTTCAATATCATAGATTCTAGTGTCACTTAAATTTTCTCTTATCTTCAAGGCAGAGTTAAATTGCATTTCTCCTCCATAAATTATTAATTGTTTTCCATTAATTGAATTTTATTATTAATTATCATAAGAAAATTAAGTAGATAAAAGCATAGGATATCCAATACAATGCAAACAATGTCCATATCTATTTAAGGGAATATCACCTTTTTATTTAAGTTCTCTAAATTTCCCAAATTATATTTCATATTCAATCATATCTCCAAATACTTCACTTCCTATTCCACCAAAAATATATATTCTCTTTTAATAGTCTGCTGCCATTGTATTTTCTCTAACTGTTGGTATCCATTAATGCTAGAGTTTTGTGAAAAAGGCACCATTATAAAACATAGGAAATGAAACTTTTTTCTTAATTTATTATTGACTTGTTTAGGCAATTTTCTCTAAATTCTGAAATGTTTCTACTTTATGAGGTATTCTCTTTACATATTTTTACATTCTCGTCATTGTTCTCATTTTTTTCTTAATATATTTGAATGAATTACTATTAATGTTTCTTAGACTTCCTAATACTCATATTTCTATCGGTAGAGTGTATTGCCCAATAATTAAACTATTTTCTTATTCTAATTTAAATCATTTTAAATGCTCGAATTCAAATTAGATGATGAATCCACTGAATTGTGAGGCAAGGGAAACTTAGGATTTTGCTCATTTAAAGATCGAAAACTTATGAATTATGCATCTCCTGATTAAACAGTAATCTACATAAATGCCATAATTTTTACATTAACTTTCAACCTGTCGACAGTTCCTCGATTTGTAGAAGATAAATCTAAGGTAGGTAGTTTTTATTGACTAGAAACTCGATTTCTCTCAATCATAATATAATAAAATATTCAAATTTTTATATGAATTAAATTTAATGTTAAATAATAAAAACTAATCTAAAAGTGTACTTTTTGAGATGATACTATTATAAATTATAAATCAATAGGTAATTTAAAAATATAGGAAATAAGAAATAAATATTAATATTAATGTGACTCATAGTTAATTTAACTATTAAAATTGTAAAAAGGCAAATAAATCTTTTAATAAATTAAATGAGTAAATGCAATAATATCTGTTGGAATCCAGACGATGTATACTTAGCTTTAATTGGAGGGTGTTTGATAGGAGTGGCAACAAGCATCCACTACATGTTGATGGGTAGAGTGACAGGGTTTAGTGGAATATACTATAGTTTGATAACATTTGATAAAGGAAGCTGGAATTGGAAATTAAGTCTTATGAGTTCTGTAATGTTAGCATCATGTATAATGTTTAAAATTTATGACAATGGGTATAATAATTTAAACTAATATAGATCATCATCTATTTTGAATGGAGCATCCCCATCATATAACACAGAATAAATGTTGACAGGAATTGGTTGGGCAGGAAGTGTCTTAAGTGGTTTTTTAGTAGGTTTTGGAACTAAGATGGGAAATGGCTGTACAAGTGGACACGGAGTATGTGGATTGCCTAGATTGTCAATGAGATCATTTGTAGCTGTATGCACCTTCATGGGAATGGGATTCATAACTGCAACTTTTAGATATTGGGGTATAAATAAATAATGAGTTTTCTTTTTAGTCATTAATAAAGACTTCTACGGTCCTTCTAATAACATCATTCCTATTGGAGACTATTCAATAATATCTACAGTATTTTTATGCGCAAGTGTAGCACTCATAGTGTTATCTTTTGTGTTATAAAAGATCTAAGATTAATCAAAGATTATTGATGTTGCTGTAGCATCTCTAACAGGATTCATTTTTGGACTTGGATTAGTTATTTCAGGAATGGTTTAGAGATTGAAAATTATCAGCTTCTTAACAATTAGTAATATCTGGGATCGTAATCTATTATTATTATATCTTTAGCAAGTCTAGCTTTTGTTATGATTACAGCTGTAGGAGTTAATTTCATCACTTTTAGAATCTTGGACAAACCAGTATTTAATACAAAATTCGAACTTCCCACTAATAAAACAGTTGATTTAAAGCTTATTCTTGGAGCTGCTTTATTTGGAATGGGATGGGGAATTGGTGGATTATGTCCTGGACCTGCAATTGCACTATATCCTGAATTTACAATTTAAATTGGAATAATATTTATGATATTTTTAGGAGTTGGACAAATAACTGCCAACTATGTTGTTGAAAGAACCAAAGATGTAGAAATAATGTCAAAACCATTGTTATGATTATTAATATATATAAATACATTATATTAATATGCCTCCTAAAAGATCACATCACAAAACTTATTCATCAGAAATATCCTCTTCAAATCTTTTGGCTTATCCTACTCATAGAGAAGAACCTAAAATTTCTAAATCTCCAACTTTACAATTTGATTTCAAAGTAATCAAATTCTAAATTTTCTTAGACTAACCAGATATCCATTGAATAAAATCCTTTACTTAGATAGAATGGTTCCTCTTCTAATCTTCAATAATTATAATAATAGTAATATATTTGAACTATTATCTGAGGAAAACTATTCGAAAATTTCAATAATAAGATCTCCTTATATCCAAAGGCTTTATCACACCACAATATTTAAGTTCTAATCCTAGATTATTCCAATCTAATTTAAAAAGTAAATAATAATCCAACCACATCAAAACCTAACCTTATTCCAATAAAAATATATAATACTAAACTTTAGGTATAGAAACTGAAGAGTATAAACAACCTTCATTTATTTCACAATTTTAATAGAAATTTTAAGATCCTTAGCACATACAATAATTTAAAAAGAATTCTTTATCTCTAAAATAAAAGACAGACATACCTCTTTTAGATTTATAATAAAAATAACAAATAGAGAATTTGTATAGCAATTAATTTCATAAATCATAAGGATCTTTTAATATCTAGAATACTTAGAAGATATCATTTCATTAGAATTAAACTCATTCAAAAAGTAATGGAATAGCAATTACTCCTATTCTTTAAGTTTATACTCCTAAAGAAGCCCTAACAGAATTTCATTAACTTGAATCTCTTACTGCAAGGTATTTATGTATGTAATGAATAGAAAGAAGCCCATTCTTACTCTGATTTTACAATATAAATTGATAAAAATAAAACTATAAATTGAATTATCAACCCAAAACATTCAACATTTAGTCGATATCGTTAGGCAGGAAATAAATAACAATTTTTAAAATTGCAAATAAAAAATTATAGGAATCTAAACTTGCAATTTATCTATCCCTACAGATTATATTTTATCAATGACAGAAAAACCTTTATTAATTTTAGAAGGTTGTTAAATAAAACCATTGGTTATAGAACCTATTTTTGAAATAGAGAATGATATTTAGATTTCTAAAGTAAGTTTAAAAGATTTTGAATTTATAAAATGTATTGGTATGGGAGGATTTTCAAAAGTTTATTTAGTTAAGGAAATAAAAACAGGAAAATATTTTGCTATGAAATTAATCGAAAAAGGTCCAATAATTTAATAGAATAAATAATAAATAATTCAAAATGAAAGAGATATAATGTGTTTGATAGATGATCCTTTTGTAGTAAAAATGTATTATGCATTTGAATCAAGAAAATATTTTGTATTTGTTTTAGAATATTGTTCAGGAGGAGAACTCTTCTTTTTACTTAGAAAAGTATTAAATTTTTATTTATATAGATTAAAAGAATGAGTGAAAAAGATGCTTTCTTTTATTTTTCAGAAATTTGTTTAGGAATGAAAACTCTGCATTCTAACAATATAATTTATAGAGATATTAAACCTGAAAATATATTAATTGATTTAGATGGACATATAAGGATAGCTGATTTTGGATTGTCTAAACCCAATATGATTGAAACTGAAGATGCATATTCATTTTGTGGATCCTCTGAATATATGGCACCAGAAATGTTATTAAAAAGTGGACATACTTTTTAATTAGATTTGTATTGTCTAGGTGCATTGCTCTATGAATTAGTAACTGGACTACCTCCTTTTTATTCTCGAAACCTTGAAGAAATTTATTAGAGAATTTTGAATTAGAAATTAAAATTTCCACCATAAATCTAATTATCTTCATCAATCAAACATCTTTTGACAAATTTATTAGCCAAAAATCCTAAAGATAGAATTGATTCTATTGATACTTTATTAAACCATCCCTGGATGACTTAATGGGGAGATCAAAATTTATATAAATAAATTGTTATTAAAAAGATTCGCCCTCCATATATTCCTGATTATTTTAATCTCAATTTTGATGAAAAAGAGTTTGGAATAGGAGAGAGCGAATTTTTATAATTTATTAAACCATTACAAAAAAGCATGAATGAAAATTTTCCTAAAGAAATTATATTAAAGGAATTTTATTACAATAAAAATAAAAATATAAATGAGGAAGAAGATTAAACAAATTATAAATTAGAGTATAAATAACCTCAAAAATAAAATTCAAAAGGAAAGAATGCTGAAGATAATAGTGTGCCATATCATAAAGGTTTTTTGATGAATAAATATAGTAGTTATTAAAGACTACTTACTGAAGTTGAACCAAAACTAAAACTAGCATGAATTTAAATTAAACTAAGAATGAACCATATATCTTCAATTATTCCACTTTATGAAATATATGTATATATAATTAATGCTATGTTAATCAATGGACTACTTATTTTATAATAGTATGCATAGAATAATAAAATTATCTAATTTTATACACTATTTGAAGTCATATTTCATCACATGAATCTACAGTTTTTATATCTCCTCCTATGGAATTAATCATATCTTTCTAATATCTTAAATCAATACTCTTCAATTAATCATATTACTGGCTTTATTACAAAGTACAAAATGAATTACTAATTTAGGATGATAATGATTATCCAAAACAGTTTGGAACAAATACATAATTTTATAACATCTATTAACAAGGAATTATGCAATTTTATTGATTTGCAATAATGAATTTTGATTAATTTGATTGAGTAGCCTATTCTTTAGTATTATTTATAGTATTAATGTCAATATTAACTTTTTTTATTATAGTATTTAGTATAATATTTTAGAAATCTAATACATTATATGGTGTCAAATAGATTCGATTATTTCTTTTATTAAAAATAACAAGACTGCTATGATCATTGTTTACATAAAAGTTTGAATCAACTTTTTAAATATTCAATTTTTTCTTATATAAAAATCTTTCATTAGTGTTAACCTAAATAGAGTCATCAGGAAGGTAATCAAAAAAATCATCATTATTAATTTTTTATGCCTCTTTAATTTTTCCTTCCTGTAAATAAAGTTCCACATATAAATTTTTAATAGCTAACAGAATAAATTGGCATTCAAAGTTATCAATTTCTTCTATTGGTGTTGATATGCCATATTTTTTTGAATAACTTTATCTTAATATTTATACTTTCTCAAATAAGATTGGATTAATACTATTAATCTCTTATTTCTATATCTCTCTCTTTATCAATGAATTATATTTATTTTTTAAAGTGTTTTCTGTTCTTGTTCTACCATATAGAATAGATAATTCAGACCATTTCTTCCCTCTTATTAATATCATCTTTAATAAATCAATTTCCTATTATTTATCCCAAGGTACACTAATTTATATATTTGATACTTAGATATATTAGGATCTAATCTATTTATCCATCTCTCTCTACATTATTTTGGCTATCTAAATACCTTGTTTGAGGATTGTTTGAATATTTCCTTAGCTATTTAGGACCATTTATTCTCTCTACCCGATTTCTAAAACTCTCTTAATATCTAATCATTTTCTTACTAATGTACTGAAAATAACAATTAATCTTCTTATTCTGTCCAAGGTATTTAAGATAATGGAATTCGATATCTTTATTCCCATTTCAATCTACACTGATGAGCATTCCTTCCTAAAATTATTTTGGAAATTTCTCTCCATTCTTCATATTTCTGTAAAGTTAATAAATCATTTACTAATAATCTATTATCTTTCAACCCTTTATATAAACAATATCGGATTACTATCCAATAAAATAGCTTTTTTTCAATTTCACTCCACTTTATGGATTTCTTTCTTCCATTTTCCCTTAAAATATGTATATAAAAGTACAGATTTAGCTTAAATAATACTATAGCCTATTCAGCTGTTGGCCAATTTTTAAAATCTAACCTTAAATTATCACCAACTTTAAATAACATTTCAAAATTTTCCTAAATAAAAGATGTTTTTTCAATAAAATGATAGAACTCTTTGATCACAATATCTTGAGAAACCACTATAAACTCTTTTATTATAGCTTTACCCTTTAAATCCTCCATTTCAAAATTACTGGGCACATTATGATCATTTTTATTTTTAGTATTTTTTTGGGTATTCATTTTATTATTTAATACTGAAAAGAAACTATATTAATACTATATCAAAACAATAACGATTAATATCATTAATTACTTTTCTGTCTTTTTGAGAAGAATTAAACAGCAAATCTTACAAAAAGAATAATAGTATTTGTCTTGATTCTAGTAAATTCTTAAACTTATTAATAATATTAAGTTACTAATACTAAGTTAATATTTTGATAATTAAATAGTATTTATTAATAATAATGGGAATTGTAAAATAATTAAAATAAAAAGGTTTATAAAATTGATATCGATCTCATATAAGCACGTTTATTCGTTTAAACTAAAAATTATAGAGATAAGAATTTATAAATAGTTTTAAGTTAAATTTAGTACTGCATGGAACGATAATAAATTAAATTCTTTTAAAATACTAAAATTAAATAATATAAATGATCAAATGTGTATAAAGTCTAATTCATAACACATGATTATTTGATATATATATATATTTTTTAATATTATTTTTCATAAATTAGTTGATTAAGTTACATTCATTTTCAATCACTCATTATCATTTAATTTCAACTTTAAATTAGTTATTTTAAATCCCTCTACAATATTACTTTACTTGAAACACCCATAAAATTTTATTTTATGTAAGTGGAATAATTTTCACAGGTTTATTAAAATTTTTGTTATTAAAAATGACAATTAAATTATTAATTAAAATGGCTAAACAATATTTGAAATTTATATATAATTAATATAAATATTATGAATCAGTGATGAAGTGCTGTATAATAATTTTCATATTAGTCCCAATTCTATAATGATAGAAATTTTCAAATGATTACTTAAATTTAAATCAAGAACAAGACTATATATTTATATTATAAATTTAGCATTCTTATATCCTATCCTCAATATATCCAATTAATAGGCTCTTAAAAATTTTAAACCTTCTATCCCTTTAAAAGTTTTAATGATTAAATTTGTTACTGGTGAGAATTCAATTTGGGTATACAATTTTTTTTTCACTTACTTTTCCAATATTGTTTATTTTTTCCTTTCAAATCATCTGCATAGTGTTCTTATTATTAATGCTCTTTTGATATTAATAGTAATGAGAATACCAATTTAACGAATTAAAAATAATCTAAATTCTCTAATTGAAAAAGTGCTCTCAAAAACTAAACAATTCTCCCTGCCCTAAAAATTAATAATGGGTATCAATTATTTTTCTTATAGAATTTTGATATTTGATTTTATAAAGCAAAAAGTAATTGTTTGTTTTCTGTTATTAGTATATTTTGATTGTTTTAATAATTAAGATATTATATTACATTGTAAACAAAATTATTTTTAGTTATACTGATTGTTTTAAACAAAACTTTCCATAATTATTAATTAAAAAGATATTTATTATCTTATCATAGTTTATTGGTTTGATTGCAAATCGAAATTTTATTCTTCAAAATCATTTCCAAAATTATCAATTCTTTTGCTTCTATTAATTATAACAAAAAGTCTTGTTGTAGTCACTTTTTTCTAAGTACAGTTAAACAAGTGATTGAATATTAAATTGAAAGATTATCACTTAATCACTTATTTTTTTTTGTAAATATTAGAAATACAACAACTCTAAAAACTTACATGATAAATTCGAATCATTATTGTAAATTTCTTAAATCTTTTATTAGATTTTTCAAATTTTTATCATTATATTATTATATCAATGTCTAAGTTTCTTCATGTTTTTTTATATAGACTTGCTATTCTACTAATCTTATTGTCCAATCATTAGTATTATTTCCGTAAGACACAGGACATTAATTTTAAATTGCTATCACCAAATTATAATGGTCATTTCTTTAAACATTGTTAATTTCTAGACAATTCATTGTCACCTTTAAATTTGTAATTAAATAGCACAAACCTTAAATCCAATATCCTTAATTCATGAAATTAATAACAATTATAAAAATATTAGACAATATATTATTAAATGGGGTACTCATTTATTGGATTATTTTATAATTTCTGAAAATTGATTAATGGATGATTTCTTCATCAAATTTAAAGATTTTTTCGATAAAGTTAAAGACATTACGAATGTGAGATTCACTTATATGAAAGAATTATATAATCTTGGGTTAGACTAATTTCCAGATAACTATTAAATTCTGAACATCCAAAAGAACAACTAGGCAAGTATCCAGTAAGGTGCAAATAAACTGAAGAAGAACTGGACTGATGATGATAAAAAAGTATTAATTTGGTTGGTTGGAAAATATTTGGCCTTTCAAAAGAGAGATTTTAAACATATTGTATTGAATTTGTTCATATGTATTATATAGAGTGAAGGTGATTGGATTAATATATCTTCAATGATGTAGAGAAGAGATGCCTTTCATTGTAAATAAAAATGGCTTTAAATGTTGAAACTACCTTTACAATAGGCTCCTTGGAGTAAGTAGGAAGATGATGCACTTCTATTAATTATTCAAGAATATTAGAAATTAAATAAAGGTAATAAATGGAGTCAAATTGCCACAACTCTTAACAAACGTACCGATACAAGTGTTCATAGAAATGGGAAATAATGTAGGGAAAGATGGAATAATCATCTAAATCCATCTATTAATAGGTAAGAATATAATTTATTTTAAGAAAACCTTGGTAATTATCTGAAGATTTAGAGCTTATGAAATTGGCCATTTTAAATGGAAAAAAATGGGCTTAAATTTCAAAATAGTTAAAACTGTAGAGAAGTGAAAATAATGTGAAAAATAGATTTAATTGTCTAATGAGAAAGGAAAGAAACAATAAAGCTTAAACTTTTTCTATATAAGAAGGTGATCAAGAATCATAAGATTCTTTTTCATCTAATCCTTCAGTTGAAGAATTAAGTTTAGAAGAATTAAGAATTATCAATTAAATTATCAAAAAAATTGAGTGGAGAATGAAATAAGATGGTGGTGATCCTTATGATGTTAAATAAGAAGATTTTGATTAACAATAAAAAAAGATTACATCAACACATTAATTAAAAAATATTAAATAGTAGCAATAAGGGGAAGTATAAAATCTTTCTATTCAAAATGTGGATAATAATTAAAATGAAGATAATAATATTAATGATTATAAATAATAAGATAATAACAATAATAAATAATAATAAAACACCTTAACATTATAAATTATGGATTTTGCTTAAATTTCTTCAGATGAGTATTTATAATTATAATAATGTCTAATTAATAGAGAGAAAAATAGAATCTATTTTACTACTTAAGAACAAATTAATTAATTTTCCAAAACCTAACAATAAGTCAATATTAATAAAGATTCAGTATTAAACTAAGAATTTCATGGTCAATTGAGTAATCCTAGTCTACCAAGTTATAACAATCTGTTAAACAATATACGTTTAAATTAAAATGTTGAAGATCCAATATAATAAAATTAGTTGTCTAATCAAGAAAATCAACATAGTATTAATTCTTACTTCCAACTTTTTCCATTCAATAACTATTAATAATAGTATCAAGGAGCTTCTTAAAATGTAACTTAAAGATCAATATTGAATTTTCCACCTAATTTGAATACTCATAATTTTTAGTAGGTTCCTAATTATTATTAAGGATTCAATTATCATGTTGCTTGCTATCCTTAATAATAATATAATTAATTCCTGTAAAATAGTGATAAAGCATAAGGATGAAGTTAATGTTTCAATTTATAAATTATTTAATTATTTTCTAATAATCTTTACAATCTTTGGTTTTATTATATTAATAATATCAAACATTTTTAAAAAAATATTGAAATTTTTAACATTAATTCAAATACTATCTCTAAACTTAAAGAAATTATCAAAATTAATATATGAAATAGAGACATTTATGCAAATGAATATACTTATAAAAATGAGAGTAAAATCAATTTTAATTATTATGCTAGATTATTTGTTATAAAATTATTAAAGTAGCTTTCCCAAAAATAATCCAATCTATCTATAATGTATTTAATTTTTTAATAAAATTTTGGTTTAATTCATTTGTATTAAATATTAAAAATATTACTTAGCCCATTAATTTCTTTTGTGTAATGAAATGATATATGAAAATGTATCTTTAAAAATCCTTAATAACATTAAAATAAATATTATTACATATATATATTATGATATATAGACAATAACATCAAATTTTAATTTCCTTTCTTCTCTCTGGTTCACACTCTTCCTCCAATGATTCCAGAGTTTAAAGTAAAATAGAACCTAAATATGAATTTTTAAATCCCTAGAATAATTTGAAATGATTACTTCAAATGTCATATTTGGCTTAACAATCTTTGATATATTTATGTATCCACTTTGCTCAAGATTGCTTGGATATACTCCTAATTATTTTCTGTATCTGTTAATCAATCTTCCTTAATAATAAAGTAGGATTCCAAAATTATTTTATGTAAGCCTACTTAATTGATAAGATTCTGCCCATTCACTCAATTTCATAAGAATTTTTTCATTTGTAACAGATACTTTATTTTTATTTTCAATTCTACTAATTACATTAAGATTTGTGTTAATCAATTAATTTTAAACAATTACTTTAAATTGTAAAGGTTCTAGTGAATAATATTTGAGATATTCTTTTAAAGAGAAATCTGGATATTTAATAATATCATCTTTTTTTAGACCAAATGCTTATGATTAATTTGAAATTATATCATCATTAAATAAACTTAATTCAAATATTTTTTATAAAGCATGTATTCTAGCTAAATCAAAGATGAATATTTTAGTATAATTATAATTGCAATTAAGTATGAAGTCTTCTTCATTTATTAAATGTGTAATTGAATTTAATAATACATATTTGCTTTCTGGTGAATCAATCTTTCTTTCTGTGCCATTAGATATTGTAATTGTGTAATTATAAAATGTTAAGGTTTCATCATTGGGATTAAGTTGATTATTCATTGATATTAATCCAACATAATAATTATTCTAAGATTTATGACAGATTAACACACTATCTCCTAATCTTAATGATGCAATTTTAAAATTTAATGCATATTATTTTTTATTAAGTAGTTATTACTCTTCTAGAATTTAATTTTATTCACTATCATTTTTCAAATCTAAATCCTAATTAATTATTTAATTTTTTCTTTTAGAAATATCAAAATTAAATAAGAAATCGTTTAAATCATCCAATTCTTTAGGGTCTTTTTCAAAAATTATCAAAACTGGTATTTTATCCTTAATCTCATCTATAGTATTTTTATATTTCATCTTCCTTTATAAAAATATATATTCAAAATTAACTTCCGAAGCTTCTGATAATTTTACATTATCCAAAAAGAGACCAAAACAAGACATAGGACACTAAATAAGTTTCGAAATTCTATAATAATTATAAAATATAGTACTCATCAACGAATGTTAAAGATAATTTAGGTAATTTTATAGCACTATTTTCAATTGCTTTATGAAATGATATTTCTTCTTCTTATTGAATACCATATATTAATTGACAATATTTACATACATTTTTCATTTCATCTCTTGCATATTTTTGAATATTATTTTCACTATCCTTTAAATGCAATACCATAATATCTTCTAATACTTCTCCCATACTTCTCAATCCTCCAAAAATTATAAACTAATCCTTATATACAATACAACTATGTGAAAATCTAGGTTAAAATATAGGTGTTTTTGATTTTGGTTACAATTTGCTCCATGTCTATAAATTTAATTTTTTATTACATACTCTCATTACTGTTTCAAAAATCCATATATCATTTTTTGGAAATATTGGCTTCTCTTCTTCATCAATATTTTAATCATCCTCTTAATCTTACTCCATAGCTTCTTCTTCATTATCCTTCTATTAATCATTTTAATATCTAAAATATATTACAATCATTCTTACCCTTCTCCTCCAATTATAAATAAAAATCTATCACCATAAGCAACTGCAGAATGAGATGCTCTTGGAGTTGGTTATTAAGATCCATTTGCTTTAATCTTCTCAATCTTTATAACTGTATTATTTTCTATATTCTGACCTTTATCATCTTCTGATTCTAATTAATCAAACTTTGAATGTAAATCATTAATATTTTCAAAATCTAATTTGTATAAATCTTTATGAAATACTAATTGTTTATTTGACTATTAACCTTACCCTCCAAAAATATAAACACTATCTCCTATTTTATTAGCAGTATGACTTTCTAATTTAATCATTTCATCCCCTGTAAAATGTGTTACTTATTAAAATTTGTTTGTTTTTATATCATATAACCAATGTGATTCTGTCATTATATTTTATACTTAATCCCATCCTCCATAGATATATATCAGTCTTGATGATAAAGCT